CTTAAACTTCTCAATCAGCTGTTTAATTAAGAAAATAGCTTATGGTCTTGACCTTCTTGGCATAAACCAATTTGGTCTTCAGATACATTTGTTTCATGCCTTAGTCGTTGTTTATTAACTCTCTCCTAAAGCTTCATAGTATGGGTCATAAGATTGATCCCTCAATAGTTTGCATAATTCGGTCTGGCTCCTTTGTTCTTGTAAATTGGTACCACAATACTTTTCATCTATTTGTCTGGTATTTTCTTTGTTCTAAATGTCTTGTTGAACACCTTTGTCAACCAGTCAATAGCAATTTCCCTCATGCACTTACAAACCTCTATCGGGCTACCATCTGGTCATAAAGCTTTTCTTATCTTCATCATTTTCAAAGATTCGTTTACTTTCGACATCTGAATCCTACGAATGAACCTATGACCTCCGTTGCCACTAGTACCAACAGTCCCTTATACCACTATATTCCCATTGTGTTCGTCAATAATAATTTTTTAAAATAGACTCCTCACCCTTCATTGACCTCATCATCATTTACCAAGATCATTTTATCCTCACTCTTAATGTATCTTATATGGTTTAAGTTCCTACACTTTTTCTCTCTTATTTTTGTTAATTTGAAGATATCTTTTTCACAATTTCTTGTTTCCAATTTATTGTATTAATTATCATCTGCCTTACGCTTAACTTTACTTGCTATTTGTTTAGCATTTTTCTTCGCATTTTTATATTTTTTTAAGTTTTGATTGTTCTATTACTCTGCCAAGCTCTATAACATGAATGTTTGTCGCTAATGTCCTTCCGCACCTCGTCACTGTATCACTAAGTTTCCTTATTGAAATTTTTTTTCCCTCTAGATTCTCCAAAAACTTCTTTTGTTCCTTTCTTGCTACATTCAGTCATCTCATTCCATTGTGCATTGCCAACATGTTCAAAGTTTCATTTTAATTTTATTTAATATTTTAGGAATTTTAATAAGAATTTTAAGCATTTTAAATATCTAACTGGTGGAATTTACACCTAACACTGCCGGTAGATCTAAAAAAGAATCCGATTCATAATTTGAGCAGCCCCACTTCTCTGTCGATCTCATGAATTTCAACTTGTTTTACATGAATTTGAGTTGATCTCACTCAAAGATTAGTGTAGATTTGTGCACAAACCATAATCCATAAAATTGGAGAGATTGAGGAAGATATAGTACATAGAATTAGAATTAGATGGATAAAGTGGTGATATACTTTTAGAGTCTTATGCAATTATCGCATACCAATAAATTGAAGAGAAGTTCTATAGGATTGATGTAAGACTAGCCGTGTTTTTTGAGATGAAATACTAGGCAGTGAAGAAACAATGTATTCATTAAATAAGTATAGCTGAGATGAAGATGTTGAGATGGATGATTACCAAGACAAGCAAGGATATAATTCAAAATGAATACATTCAAGGAAACATAATGATGGTTTCAATAAGCAAAACGATGAGGGAAAATAAACTTAGGCAATCAGATCATGAGTAGTGTTGACTTAGAATAACACGTAGTAAGAAATGGCGATTTGCTTCAGGTGGAAGGCTCTAATAAGGCAAGGGAAGACTTTAAAAAGACATGAATGGAAGTAGTTAGAAGAGATATGACGACTTGTGGTATGACTGAGAATATGATCATTAATAGAGTGGAATGGTAGAATGAGACTCATGTACTGAATTTCAAATAGTTGGAAAAAGGTTGTCATGATGATGATAATGATGAGTTCGATCCTTCTAGTGCCAAATCCCTCTTACACTTCAAATTATAGATTCAACATTTGAATCCGGATCCACTTTTACTTGGAAAAGAAGAAATATTTCTCAACAATTCCAAGTCTTTAAGTGCCTAAATAAGGCAATTTTGTATATAAACTAAAGAAAAAAAGATCCTCATCATAAAATATGAAAAAAGTGAGATTATATTTTATATTATGAAGAAATAATTTTTCACACTAATAAAAGATGGTTCTAAAAAAGACAATTTGGATTAGAATCGCTTGATCTATATTAGGAATCAAGAAGATCAACCTGATTCCCCCTATTTAGGAATCAAGAAGATCACTTTTTTTTATATTATGAAGAGACTGGCTAGTTGTATGATAGAATTGACCTGTTCTATCAGAGAGCTGCGTTAGACCGGTTCCTACTTTTTATATTTTGTTTTTATTTCTTTTAATTTTTTTATTAAATTTTTTTTATATTTTTATTTAAAAGTGGGGTGATCAATGGAACTATCCCTCTCCTCGGCAGCTGCGAAGCTACTCCATCTCATGAGTTATGTGGGTAAGCCTCTTTTATAACCTTGTCCCTCTAATAAAGTTTTAAACCTCCCCAATGTGTGACTCATGAAAGGTACAACAAACGTTTTTCAAAGCTTTTCTTAAGTGGGTGAACCTCTTTTTGTTATGGGTGCGGTTTGTATAGAGCCGAGGCTCTAATTAATCAAATTAGAGCCCACCTTAAAATATTGTTGAGAAATATGGTTTCAATGTTGGGAATCTTTGTGATAGTTTTAAAATATATTTTTATCGTTAATTATAACAGTTAAAGCTTCAAAAAATAGTGTAGTTCGAGCAGATCTATGAAAATTTTAAAATCTTGAAATTCACGGTCTAAAAATGTGTTACAAGATCCACTATTTCTAAAACTTGAAATTCATTTTTTTTCATGTACATGCGTCTTGATGTCGAGATGATTAATTCGAAGATATTTGGGCATCAAAACAACATCTTCTAGTGAAAATTTTGAGGTGGGCTCTAATTTGATTGTTTAAAGCCTCGGCTTTATATAAACTTTTTCCTTTAAGTATTTCAAGGTGTTTTTTCACCACTCTCTCTCTCTATCCCTTTGAATTATAAGAGCTTTCCTCTCTCTTCTTCCCTTCTTCAAGCTTTCTTCAAAGCAACATTGTATATTTTTAAATTTATATTTATTTAGTATAATTTTATTTTTATTTAATCATTATATTGTTATGCTATTCATCTTCTAGCTATTGACTTTGAATTCTTAATTAAGTAATAAATCCTTATTTTATCCCGCCGCCAATTGATTTAGAATTTGGTTTTAGTCTCAAATAAACACTTTACTACCCAATATATTCATCCACATCCATTTGAAAAACATTTTTTCTTAATATTCTCTTCAATTTTTTTTCTATTCCCAAAAATATTAATGTTCTTTTGGACATTAGCTTTTTTTTCTCTCACAGTTTACTTTTTTCTCCATTATAAAAATTATTTATTTTTCCTTACAAATTCTCTATTGACTATAAAATGAATGAATGGACCACAAACACTCAGACATCAAAACATGTTTTATGTTTGTGTGTGGTTTGTATAAGGCTGAGGCCCTAAACAATCAAAGTAACGTGCGCCTTTAAATAATGTTGAAAGATATTTCACTATCGGAAATTTTTGGCTTTAAAATTTATTTTCATGTCTAACTACATATTTTAAAGTGGGCACCAATTACCATGCGGGCTTGGAGATCTACACCGTCCACCACAACTAGGTCTTGTAAATAATAATCCTCCAAAGAAAAAGTAAAATTAAACGTTCAAATAATTTCTTCAACAATATCATTTCTATTTTTTAAAATTTATTTACTTTTACAGATTAATAATCTCCATATTGAAGATTAAATATTCCCTAAAAATTAGAAACAAATTTTATTTTTTAAAATAAATTATTAAGGGGCCCGCATTCTACGGGCGAGTCCGTGAACTCATAGAAACCGTGTCCAAGGATTAATGCACAGTGTCAAGAGCCAAACAGTGAAATACCACTATGAGGAAGGGTACATAGACCTTTCGATAATAAAGTCATGGCATAAAACCAAAGGAGAATTGTGTGGCGCATTCAAGCCCGCACTTGTTACTATGCGGATTTGGAGATCTACACCATCCTTAAAAAAAAGTGTGGATCTATACCATAAATAATATTGCTCCAAAAGATCATTTCTAGTTTTTAAAATTTATTTATTTTTCTAGATTATATAGATTATATATTTTCTAAAGGGAAAAGTTTATATAGAGCCGAGGCTCTAAACAATCAAAATAGAGCCCACATCAAAAAATTTATTAAAAGAGGCTGTTTTGATGCCCAAATATCTTTAAATTGATCATCTAGACATCAGAAAAAATTGGATTTCAAGTTTTGGAAATAGTGCATCTTGTAATGCATTTTTTGTCTGTTAATTTTCAAGATTTTCAAGTGCTCATAGATCTGCTCAATCTACAATATTTTTGAAGCTTTAAATTTTGGGTGAGGTTTGTATAACGTGTCAACCTTATACTATTGAAGTATAGTGTACCTCAAAGCCTTGTAATGTTATGAAAATCTAGTGTTTCTCCCAATTATGAAATTTAAAGTTCCAAAAATGGTGACGATTTAACAGATTTATAAATGCTTCAAAATCTTGAAAATGGACGGTCCAAATAACGTGTTAGAAGATGAACTATTTTTACTACTAAAAATTGCATTTTTTTTAATGTTATGAATTTCGAGGTGGAGATGACCGATTTGAGGGTTTTCCAGTGGGTTTTTTAGGTGCACTGTACTTATATGGTATAAGGTTCACAACCTATATAAACTTTTTTCTTAAATTTATAATTAAAGAGGAAAATATATTTTAAGGCTATCATAAAGATTTCCAATATTAAAACTACATTTCTCAATACTATTTGAAGGTGCATTATAATTTGATTGTTTAGAGCCTCGACTCTTGACAAACCTCATCCTTTTCTAAAATTTAAGATTAAATTTTACTTTAAAAGTAAATTATTAAGGGTATGCATTTCTACATGTAAGTGATAGAAACCGTCCAAAAGAAAAGGCCAAACGCCCAAAAAGTCCAAATGTTCGGACCGTAATAATCAAAATCCACCCGAAATCCCAAAATCCAAACTTGAAAATGAAATGCACTTCCTCCCTCCCTATCTTTCCCCCCAACTAAAATCCCCGAATCTAAAACCAAAACCTGAAAGAAAGAAAGCGGGCAAAACAAAATTTTGAAATCAAGAAGAGCGGGCTCCCTCCCTTTCTCCACAACCTGCAAGAGTAAATAGAAGGCCCCTGCAACCCAATGAAACTCGCCCTTCTCCTCTTCAATTCCAGGCCCAAGCGAAGAAGAAGAGAGAGAAAAGGAAGAAGAGAGAGAAGGAACCATCCATGGCCGCTAATCAAGAGAACAATGTTCGGGTAACGCGAGCAGCGAGGAAGAGAGCTGCCGCTGCTCTGCAACCCTGCAGTCCTCCTCCTGCTCGGAAGAAAAGAGTGGCTTTGGGCGAGCTCCAAAACTTCAGTAATGTCCTCCCCGACATCAACACTGGAAATGGAGGAGACCCCAAAGCTTCTTTGAAGCCTTTGAAGTTGCGAACGGAGGAGAGAGAGGAACCTGTTGATGTTGACTTGGTTTCTGAGGATCCCATTCTTGGTAGTGCCTATGCTTCGGATATTTACCAGTACTTGAGATCAGCTGAGGTTTGATTGCACTCTGATTTGGTTCTGAAATTAATCATTAATAGGTTTATCTGGCCCAAAGGTTTGGATCCTTTTTTTTTTAAAGCCTTTCTTCTGCTTCTTCGTCCTGGTTTCGCTATCTCTCTTTGAGCTTTGGTTTGGTTTCTGGTTCCATTTTTCTTTGCTTTCCCTTTATTTGCCTTGATGGATTTGGAAAAGCTTTACTTTCTGGCAATCTTTTTTAACTGATTCTGGATCTGGGGACGGGTGTGCCTTGATAGTGGGTGTTGATTTATTTAGTGCTCCTTTCCAAGATTTGGGTTTCAGGCATGGTTTTACACTTGCAATATGGTTGGTTTAATGGCTGGGCCCTGACCTTGGGTTTTGATTTGTTTCATTTACCTATTAAAAGTTCAAGTTTTAGGGCATCGTTCCACATTTGGAGTAATTTTATGTCTGATTGCATTCTTCAGTTGAAATTCTGATGGCCTTCGCCTCTCCTTTTATTTCTGCGTCTGATTATTGATCTAGAAACTTTCACTGTGATGGATATGCGCCCTCTCTACCTATTTGGTTCTAGGAATGCCTTTGTCTGGTTTGATTGCTGAAAATACCACTGTTTTCAATAATATTATTAGCAGGTTTTGTTTTCAAGTCCAGTTGGGTCTAGTTCATCAATTGATCTGATTTGTTGCAGAGAAAATTAATATTTTTGTTACTTTTTTTCAATGGGTTTTTGGTTTTAATCTTGATGGGATTAAGGCTCTGTATGTTCGTTGGTTATTTACCATCTTTTCTCTGTGCAGGTGAAGCGGAGGCCAAGGGTGAACTTCATAGATTCCATTCAGAATGACATAACAGCTAACATGAGAGGGATTCTTGTGGATTGGCTGGTTGAAGTTGCAGAGGAGTACAAGCTTATTTCTGATACTCTTTATCTCACTATCTCATATATCGATCGATTCCTCTCATCAAATGCAATCAAGAGACAGAGACTACAGCTCTTGGGTGTTTCTTGCATGCTTATTGCCTCGTAAGCTCTCTTTCTCTGCCTCTAATCTTTCATTTTCTTCTCTGACTTTGTTTTTTTCTTTTGAATCTGGTAATTACTGCAACAAGTTGGAAGATTATTTACTCCATATATTTCTTATCAATCTCAGAAAGTATGAAGAGATTAGCCCCCCCCATGTTGAAGATTTTTGCTATATAACCGACAATTCTTACACCAAGGAAGAGGTGACTTTCTCTCTCTCTCTCTCTCTAGCTCTCTCTGCTCATCGCTCTTTTTAGTATCATTCTGTGACTTGTACTATCATCGAAAGAAGAAACTCAATAGGGACTTCATGTGTATGAAAATGCAGGTGGTGCAAATGGAAAGGGAAATACTCAAGTTTCTCAACTTTGAGATGAGCAGCCCAACAATTAAGACCTTTCTCAGGTAAAAATTTCAATCAAAATTTATGAATTTTGTTTTTTGGAGGGAAATTTGGGGAGAAGTCCCATTGGGAATTGGAAAATAGTCAAAATTTTCTATTTTATGCTCAAGTTCCTCATTTTTGTGATCTTTATATTCTCATTTTAACCTTGGTTTGGACATCCAATGTTTGAAGTGGTGTCTTCTGTCTTGAGTGAAAGACTGGTTTCGATATTGGATGTCGGGATGGATCTGTTTGATTGAGACATCAGTTTTGACATTTAAAGTCCGAGCCACCTTTCACTCAAAAAAAAAAAAGGGCCTAGTCAGCAGATTAACTTTTGAATATAGTGAATCTTTTTATTGAATAACCCCATTGGCATTGTGAATTTGTTGAATATATCACTAAATTCCAAGTCTAGAACATGTATTTGAATATGGTCCAAGAAAAAGCCATTGATAGGTTACATTTTGAATACAGTAAACATTTTTTTTTGAAACACTTGAAATCATGTTTCTTTGTTTTGATTGTTGCGGCTCTTTTTTGAGTAGAAGTTTGTTTGGACATTAGATGCCTGAGCCAACCTTTCACTAGAAAGATAACAAGCATTTGGATTTGGGCATCCAAAATCCGAATCCAATCATGTCTTTTCAGTGAAAGAGCTGTTTGGACATCGGAAGTCCTAACCTTTCAATTAGAAAACCGGTTTGGATTCCATCCAATGTTCAAACCACTCTTTCAATAAAAAATGAAAGATCTAGGTTTGAACATGCGACCACCTAAATGGGCGTTGCATTGGAATTAAAAAATGTGAAAGAGTGGGATTCGATCATTAGATAGAAAATCTTTGGGACTGCTTTGTAATTCTAAAGAAATTAAGGGGAATGTTTCAGTAAATTCCCCCTTTTTATATTTGGCTATATTATCTAACTGAACTTTCTGGATTTCTTTTGTGTAAGTGGAGTCAGATAAAAAATTATGAATCTAGAGTTAGTTTTTTAAACACTGATTCACTTGCTTGAACATTATGCAATCAAGTAGTTTTTACGACCCTGCCTATAGTCTATATTCTGGTTTTGGTTCTGTGGTTAATCCCACTCTGATTTTGTTCATAATCTGTTTCTTAGCAGGCGATTCAATAGAGCTTCTCAAGAGGGAAACAAGGTGACCTGAGCTCTATGAATGTTGGTCTCAGCATTGGTAGACACATAATCTTTGTATTTTTGGGGCCACAACATTTTGATAAATGCATAAATTTGAAATTTTGCAGACCTCTGAACTGGTATTGGAGTTCCTGGGTAACTACCTCGCAGAGTTAAGCTTATTAGATTATGGATGTGTAAGATTCTTTCCGTCCATCATTGCCGCTTCAGTCATATTCCTTGCAAGATTCACTCTCCGTCCACAGACCCATCCTTGGGTAAGTGGCTGCTCTCAAACACTGTTAAGCATAGGTTCTAAATACCCTTCTTTTAGTATAAAGAACATAACTGAGTATATTATGGTGCTTGATACTTTTTTTCTCAGACATCAACTCTACAACACTACACCGGTTATAAATCATCAGATTTAAAGGATTGTGTCATTGCTATACACAGTTTGCAATTGAACACAAAAGGATGCAGTTTGGCAGCCATCAGGGATAAGTACAAATCACATAAGGTATATTTGCACTCATCCCTTACTATAACTCAGTTTTTTAACATCTATTAGCCCCAATGCCAAACCATCAAATTCAATGTGTCTTGAACTAAGTTGTTTCTTTATAAATGGAGCAGTTCAAATGTGTGTCATCTTTGTCGCCCCCCACTGAGATCCCATCTCAATTTTTTGAAGACATCAATGGATAGAAGATGGTTGGCGTTTGCTAATCTGTGCCTATAATTGGAGAATGATCCATGATTCAGGTGTTGTAGATTCTATGCCTGGTTTACACTTCAACTTACACAACTTGAATGATGGTTATAAACTTACACAACTTGATCATCTTCGTCATAAGCTTCCCTGCTGAAGAGGGAGTACATTGAAGATAATCTGCATCATGCTCTTAAATGCATGAGGCCTTAAAATGTTTTCATAATTAAGTTTAAGTCTTTCAATATCACTAGCCAACAAGGAAATTTGCTTCAATGACAGCTGTATCATGATTTTGTAATGTACACTAAACTTGTTATGGATGGAGTCCAGGGGAGGGTTCAAGATTTTTGGAATGAAACTCATGTTTATTCCCTTTTGATGACATGATTGGCCCCATTCGAGAGTGTTACAAACTTAGAAGGCTCAAAATCTGAAATTTTATCTTTTGTAGTTTAATGTGTGACCAATAGGTTCATTCTTTTGTATTGCTTGTGTTACTTCTTGCAACCTTCATGCACTTATTTATTTCTCATTGTTACAATTCTTTACCCCGTAATGAGATTGGTACTCCATTTTTATTGCTCTACTAAGTGTTGCATCCATCATTGTTTGCTGACTTGGAAATCAGGTACTTGTCTTTTGGGTTCATTATTGTTTTACTTAGGTGAATTCAGCAATATACCTAAAACTAAAGACAGTTTTAGCACGAGCTCATTGGCTTTTCTAAATCTCAATGTAGTGGAAACACAAAAATGTAAGGATTAAATCAATATTGTGTATATTTTTTTAATTTGGTTTTCCTGTTGTGTTTGATTGATTTTTTTGGAGCTCTCATTCCTTTTGCATGCAGTTCCTCTGAGTTCAGAGGCTGACTTTCATTTATGAGAACTAAAAATATAATTTACTTATCTCAAAATCCTTGAGCTTTTGATAGAGATGGCCTTAAGAGCTCTCACCCATCTGTCCAATTTAGGTGGTACTTGTTTCATTTTAGGTTTCTAAAGAGAGAATAAAGAAGAAAAGAAAAAAAGTGGCATTGTTCTTAGAGATAGAGAACTAGAGAGGTCCTTTAGGTGGCGGCATGTGAGGGGCAAGCTTTCCATGCTTTCCCTACAACATAAAAGTTTTATCCTCTCCCTTATCCAACCCTCCATTCTGAATGGAGGGTTAAGATTGCCCCAATCACAATGTCACGCCTTTACACTATTTTATTTTTAATTTTTTTCTATAAACTATTTTGACACTAAATTTTGGATGTCCATTCCTCTATTAAACTTGCACTAGTGAAAAATAAAAAAATTTATTTTTAATAAAATAAAATGACTAAAATACCTTTGAAAATTTTAGGGGGTATTTTGGTCATTATATTTTATCGAAAAATTAGTTTTAATATTTTTTATAGGTGCACCCCAATGAGAAGATGACACGACAATTTATATAAAAAAAACTCAATAAAATACTTTGAGTTGTCAGATCTAAAATCAAACGGTGAGTAGCTCTCTTGATCAAACTTGGACAGTTGAATGGTAATGGGAGGATAGAACTTTTATGCTATAGGCCAAGCATAGAAACCTTTCCCGCATGTAAGACCCCTTTTTTTTCTCCAAAAGAGTCTTCCCTTTTCTCTATATAAAACCCTATATAGAGGAGCTCGACCTCCTGTATGAAATTGCTTTTCTTATCTTTAAATAAAAATCCTTATTGAAGGCTTTATGAGTTGGTATTTAAGTGCTCACAATTTACAAATTTTTCATGCACATGAAAGTACAGCCTTAAGGAATCGATAGAAAGGCTAATACCCACTAATACACAACACAAAAGAGGGCCTAAAACAAATTTAAAAAGCCCAAAACACATTCAATTGAACAAAATGAGATTGATGGATGTACTAATACAAATTTAACAGTACATTACAAAAGACAATTACATCCAAAATTCAACAATGCATGACAAAAGACATTTACATCCAAAATTTAACAATGCAACAAAAGACAATTACATCAAATGCTTATAATACTTCAATAAAAACTTATCTATTGCAAAGTCTAACATTTATAGCTCACTAATAAATTCAAAACGAAGAACTAAGGATCATGGGGATTTCAAATTACCAAAAAATTGTCTAACATCCTCTAGAATTCCTACACCCTAAACCAGATCTCCTTTGACAAGGTCGAGATTGGGGCAATGCCCTCCCCTAAATGGAAGACCAAAAAGAATGCTACCCTAACTCTGTTTATATAAAATTCAACATTGCATTACAAAAAACAATTACATCACACACAATACTCCAATAAACACTTACCTGTTGTAATCTCAACACTTAAACTTATTAAAAAACAAAGAAGCAAAGGGAAGCCAAATGGCCAGAAATGATTTTTGGTACCACCTCCTGAAGACTTCCTACATGCCAAAACGGATCTCTTCCTTCGATAGTGCTGAGATTGGGGACCACTGCTCTCCTCTTAGTGGAAAGCCAAGGCGAGCACCACCTTAACTTTATTTAGCGGCTTAAATGGGCTAAGAATGAAATGAAAAAAGATGGCCAAGAATGCACCATATTGGGTGTAAAAAGATGAGACAAGATGAAGGCTTATGTACACACCATGTAGGAGACATTGCACTAGACGATTGGCAAGCAATATGAGGGCTTAAAAGAAAGTGACTATAGAACATCAAAAACGGCTTTTACCTCCCTGGTTTGTATGTTAACCAGAGTTTAGTCTCATAAAGGATGGGCGTGGGTCTTAAGGGTCTCTCTCCGAATTGTTTTAGATTATTAAAAAAAAATTATGTTCCATATAGCTTTTTTAAATTTTGTATTAACTAAGGAGTTTTGGTATTTCAAATAAGTTATGTGGAGAGACAGAGAGACACAAAAAGGGAGAAATTTAGTGGAATAAGTTATTTGGAGAGAGAGAGAGATATGCAATGTGAAGTTAGGTTAATTTTACGATAGAACTTATTCACGTTAATAGTAGAAGAGGGAGAGAAGTGGCAAAAGAATTCCCACATTGAGAGTTGAGGGATGAAATAGTCACTATTAGAAACTCAAGATACTACAGAGAACTCTATCTTTATTAATTAATTAAAAATATATAATACCCCGTATAAATATATGGGCAGTAACAATTAAAGATAAATACCAATGGTTATGGATAATTACTAATTAATCTTATCATAATCAAGAGACACCTAATTAAGAGATATATACCTATACAGATACATTTTCATATTGATATGTATTCATAAGGATGTATATCAATATTAACAAGATATCCATACGCTAACACTCCCCCTCAAACTCAAGATGCTTTTACACAAAGCAGTTGAAGTTTGAACTATAAGTTACATAACAAACTAGTTGAATCTTTAAGTCTTCATGTGCATAGATTGCTTGAACAATAAGCACAGAATGACACATGGAAGAGCTAACAACTTGAGAGTCGAAACAGACTCGACAGAGAGTCGAAGCAGACTCGACAGAGAGTCAAAGCAGATTCGACAAAGAGTCAAAACAGACTCGACAGAGAGTCGAAACACGACTCGGAGGCCTTTGACAGTGCTTCCTTGGTCTATGAGTTTCTCTCACTAAACTAAGAGTGTTGATTGATTCAACCATGGACGAAGAGGAGAGCTGAAGTTTTGAGAGTGTTTATTGATTCAACCATGCACGAAGAGGAGAGCTGACATTTTTGTGTAGAGAGATAAAATAGCAAAGTGTGTTTCTGTACCCTCATCATATGGCAACGGTGGTGGAGGTGCTTGGAAAGTGTCGGGTATTGAGGAATAATCCAAATTCGTATAAACCAAAAGCCCTGGATGAACTACAGAAGCAGTACTTTGGGGAGACGACAAGATATCATGGCCTTCTGAAGATGGATAATAATAATATCTTGGTACTATACGAGATTCTCACTGAAACTCTCATAGCATTGACCCCATCGAGGATCTCTGCAAACCGCAAGGCATGGTACAAGAATATAAGGAATGCCAGTTGCTCTGACTTCCAAAGCGGTTGCAACACCGATCCTCTTTGCCAGCTCAGGGTCCCTGGTAGCCAACTCTATAGATCATAGAAATCTGTAGACGAGATGATAATGCACCTTTTTGAAAATCATTGACCATATTAACCCAATCCTCAAAGGTGGCATTAGGTTTAGGAATACTTCCCACTCCACTCAAGACACTCCCTATTAAGTAGTTCTTCATAACATCTTGCGTTGCAACTGAGCGATCAATTTGGGCCATTTGTCCAATCTTTTCAGCAAGAGTCATCCGCTTCAAAAGATCTTCAATACGAGATTGAAGAGGTTCCTTGGGATCTTTGTATGGCTGATTCACTAATTACCAGTAATGAAATTTCCCGACCTCAGATATGAGGTTGAGGACCTCTAATCTGAGGTCGGTGAGCCTAGATCTTAGGTTGAAGAGTCTAGACTCTGATACCATATTAGAAACTCAAAATACTGCAGAGAATTCTATCTTTATTAATTGATTAAGAATATACAAGACTCACATAAATATACGGGCTGTAACAATTAAAGATAAATACCAACAGTTATGGATAGTTAGTAACTAATTTTATCATAATCAAGAGACACCTAATTAAGATATATATACCCATACAGATGCATATCCATACTGATATGTATTCATAATGATGTATATCAATGCTAACAAGATATCATAGGCTAACAGTCACTACAAGTTACAATCTCACTCACCCCTCTTAGCAAGGTCCTCAAGGCAACACGCATGGGGCGAGTGGCAATACACGTGGACAAGGGTTGGGCCAATGGACAAAAGTGTTTTAGAGTTTTAAATTATGGAGTGGGTGCTCTAACACTCTAGTGGTTATTGAAAAAATGGTTATTGAAAAAATGGATAGGCTTTCTATGTGACTCGAACCACATATATGGTACATGTGACCCCTAATCTGAGCCCATTAGATCTGAGTACATGGCTGAGATGGCTCAGATCTTGATCAAACGGTTCGTAGTGTTTTATTTTTTATTTTTATTCTACAATAATTTTAAAGAAAAATTTGGGGGGTGCATATGTCTAACAAGTGCACACATGCTAAAATTATTAAAAAAATATTTTCAGTAATGAAACATTACTAGAATACCCCTAAAAATTGTAGTGGCATTTTGGTAATCTATTTTTAAATAAAAAATATATATTTTTTATTTTTTTCTAGGTTCGCCCTAATTTTTTGGTGGGATGCTCAAAATTTCATCAAAAAATGTTTTGTAGGAAAAAACTAAAAGTAAAACAGTGTTTGACGTGACATTGTGGTATGAACAATCATAGTTGCTCGATTCAGATCGAATGGCTAAGAAGTGGGGTTGTACATAACTTTTATGTTGTTGGGGTCACATAGAAACATTTCCTTAAAAAAATTTGGACATCCAAAATAAAAAATAAAAAACAAGTATTTGAAAAATTAAAACATCTAAAATAAAGAATAAAAAACAAGTGTTTGAAAAATCAAAGAAAAATGTGAACTAGTTGAAAGGTTCAGTTCACATGATAAAAAGTTAAACAAGTTAGCAAAGAAAATTTAAAAAGTGAATATCTATTAAAAAAAAAAGTACACAAACAAAAAAGTATTTCACCAAACCGAAAAAGACTGCGAATGGAATCTGACAACATTGTATAAATCACATGGCACCAACAAAAACATAAATCCCT